CGTTGAGACAAGCAACTTTGGTTCCGTATAAACATATAGCGGACAACGAATATTTACGGAGTTATAGCTCTTTTTCGTCGCCGATAACCAAAAAATCGGAATGTATTTAATTATAATTAGTGAAAATAAATATTATTTCTATAACGAAGAAAATTTTATTTTCTGAAAGGTGCCCGCTTATCATCAGCCTATTTGTTACACAGACGCTCCTGAGTCAAGGCTATCGGCGGCTCGGCCGCCAACGGCCGCGCGGTAGTGGGAGAGCGAGAAGCGTCGGTCGTCTCAAGAATCGAGCCGAAATGTGCAACTAACGCCGAGCTTTGATTTATAATATTGTAAATATTGTATTTTGCAGGATTCAATTTTTCATTGGGTCAGGGATCACAGAGTGCACCACAGATATACCGACACCAATGCGGATCCATATAGTGCGCATCGAGGATTCTTCTTCTCGCATGTAGGCTGGCTTCTAGTGCGGAAGCATCCGGACGTAATAAGTGCTAAGATTGATTTAACCGATCTTAAACAAGATTCTTTCGTAATGTTTCAGAAAAGGTACAACGAGCACAGTTTATTTCTACACGGAAAAAATTTTGTAAGAAAATCATTATGTACTGCAGTAGCCGTGGACCACCGAAGGAATTACAGAAACTTTTACTAATCTAGCTTGTTATTTCGAACAACGCGTTTCTTTATCATATCCTCAGATGCAGTTTTTAGATCATAAGCTAAACCTAAATAGGCGAAAAAGTCGATAAAAGCTGTGGTAATATTGAGCGAATAATTTCCTAATTCTGCCGCTTTATAGTCCCAAGGAAAAACATGATGATAATTGTGCCAGCCTTCGCCAAACGCTAGTAGAGAAACTATAGAACTATATATTTTCCGCAGGAGTGATTAATCTGCATGATAAAAGTAGACGTGTTTAAACACCACACACAAATGTTCAATTTGTAATTACTGATAAAATAAAATATAATATATAATTCTCTTAATTTAATTACATAATTAATAATAAATATTTCTTTATTTATTTAAGAATAATATAAAAATAATTAATATTAATAATTAATCAATAACAAATTTTACGTAAC